GGAAGGCAGCTAATCATCACCAACCACTGCCAACTCTTGGGCTACTCTTTTACTAACGAGTAGTGGGATTGACCGTCACATATAACGCCCCCACGGCTGAAAGGTGGAACGGGGATTCGAACCCGCGCTCCTCAGAATGCGAGTCAAGCGCCCTAGCCATCTGGCCATGCCGGGCCAGAAATTTTACAAACACAGAAATATGTATCCTTCAAGTACATCCACTGTAATACCTGTCTATCCTTTTGTTAATATCAATCTTGAATAGAATTATAACAATAAAACTTTAATATGTACTACATCTATTTTCTATTGAGAAAGGACCCCATTACATAAAACATTTGTATACCATCCGTATTAGATTGTATTAATTTGCTCATTTCTGTGTACGAACTACTAAACATTCAAATGTGTTCTGTATGTTCTTCATGAAGAACAAAATAAATAGTTGCTCTGTGAAAAATACTGAAAAGTAATGGTTTTAATTTACTTCAAAATCACTGATAATAGACATCACGAGCTCAAATACGTCAAAATAGGTATTAATTTTTGTCAGACTGAAAATGGGCTGGTTTTAGCCCAGTGTACCCGTACTGTGAATTAGAGTGCTGATGGTTCGCGTCCTGTTGCTATAACAACGCGTTCCGCACTTTGGGACACATGAGTATGTTAGAAGAATGACAGTCAAATTCGTTCAGACAAGCGTAGGCAAAAAATCAGCGGTGGTTGCTATTGGCTAGCTGCTTTCCCTCTAATCTATCAGTTTAAATTTATTAATGGCTATACAAATAGCCCTTGTGTAGCTAAGCGCAAAAGAGAAATCAAACAAAAACATCACTAATAAAAAAAATCATAAAATATATTTCAAATACGTATTTATCAGTTGTTATAATCGTCTGATGTAAGTAAGTTTCGTAGTTTTTAATTAACAAGGAAGAAAAATGAAATATTAGACCAAAGGAGGGCGCAAAAGTCAAGGTCTTTTGAATCTCTAGCCCTTCACAAAGAAATTTCTTCCATAAAATGCATTAATTTTCGACAGGGCATTTCTTGGAGAAAATAACTTTCTCATTCTTAACTATTTTGTTTGTCAAGCCACTTAAGATACCCACTGTACCCAAACTTCATTTATATAATACGTCTGCTTATCATATCTTGGAACACAGAACTCCCTTATCACGAAACAGTTGAAAAATTGTAACTCTTACTATCCCCAAACTGACCTGAAAGTTATTATGAAACCCAATTTCAGACTAAAAAATTATTTCCACTACAAAGATTGTTTACCGACTGCCCAGTGTTCACATCTCGTCTATTTATACACGTGCGGAAACTGTAAGGCCTCCTATATTGGTGAAACCAAACGTCGCCTTAAAGTACGAGCATGTGAACACATGGGCATATCTATAAAAACTGGAAGAAAGGTTACAAACCCTCCCAACTCCGCTACCTAGCAGCACAAAGCAGAAACAAGACATCCGATTTCTCTCTCCAACCTTAAACTTCTCTCAACAGCTAAACATGATACTGAACTTCTGATAAAAGAAACATGATACATAAATACTCTTCTTCAGTCCCTAAATAATATACAGTCTTCACTTGATATAAATCTATTTTAATTTTAACTATTTCGTTTTTGCTATATTTTCCATTTTATTTTATTATACTTTGTATATTGAAGTTGCATACTTCTTATGTATAGCATATGGCTGTTGTAGTTACAAATATTGTTCGTTTGATTTGTACATCTAGATTACCGATGATGGAATTTTGAAGATTCCGAAACTTTTAATAAATACTTCCTATTATTACGTTCGTGTTTTGCTTTATCACTGATAAGGACTTGTAACAAAGAAGATGGAGGGAAATCCTAAACTTGTAACGCTATTACACTGAACATGTAGATGAAAGAAAATGGCAAATAACAAATGGAATTTGGTTAAATCTCCATAATACAATAGACGTGGTATTATGATATTTTTATGTCACAGCTTACACACTGTCTATCGTCCCTCCTCCTCTTTCATTGAGTTTAAGGTTAGGAGTGTCATATTTTTTATAACTACTTTAAGTCGTGGGTAGCTGTCTATATCTTTGCTAAAAATTACGGAAACACTAGCAAAAAAAAAAAAAAAAATTTAATATTTTTTTTTATTTAAACGTTATAAATTACAACAGGTAAACAATGGTACAAACAGGTAATTTCTGATCAGAGAAAGGTGCCTACATAAAGCGAAACAAAAAATTAAGCTGGTAATGGGTATAACTAATTAAATATATCTCTCTTACTTATCAAGCTTAGATTTTATTGTTTCATCAGTTGGATGTCCTCGCTGTTAACTATGTTTTTGGACGCGATAATTGTGGTTATATGATCTATGAAACTTGTTTTTGAAATGGTTACTACCGAATTATTTTTTATTTATTTCGTCTTTCATTTATAGGTTTTTCTAAAGTCTATGAGCGCCTCCTACTGTTAAGATAGATGTTGGCATTTGAATGATGATAATACTTCAAACTGTGTGGTAAGTTTTGAATAACTGCGTGCTATAAACATAGAAGTATATATATATATGAGTGTTACGAATGTTGATATTAAATGACTATATTGTGTTTCGACAAACATTATGAACAATGAATTTTTTGCGCATTTTTGGCAAATAATTAAACATTTGTTATACGTTTTTGTATTTATGAGGTCATATTTAATGTCTAATGAATTTGGTTATATGATTGGCAAATGACTTGTTTAATTTTGTCATTCGTCTGATAACTGTTAATATATAACTTATAATTACAGAAGGAAATCTGCTATGTCTGAAAATGAATTAAATTGTTTTCATTGTTGTTACTACAAATTTAAAACTTGTTAGTTTATAACAGAATAATCATAAAATATTTGTCCAAAGTTTGTCTCTTTTATATGTACCAAATGCCGAAGCTTCTTACCAAGGGTCTAGCTTTTTTGTACAGTAAACACCAGAAAACAAAACGCCTAAACGGAAGGTTTGTTTTGTTTGTTTTTTGAATTTCGCTCAAAGCTACACGAGGGCTATCTGCGCTACTAAACGGAAAGAACGTTCTCTGTGACCCAAGCTCGAACACACATATATGTTTATACATGCATGCGTGCAGTTGAAAATATTTCTGAACATACACATATATATATGTATAGAAATGAAGTTACTTAAATACCATAATCTATACACACAGGAATCTAGATGAAGAAATATTATATAACATATTAAAAGCTCACCAAAGCTAGAATAACTCCAGTCAATCACCCATATTTCAAGAAAAATCAAAACTTACCTTGGGAGCAGTCGGGTCCTGTCCACTGGTCGTCGCAAACACAACGTTGAAGCTCAAGATCGAATTGACCATGCTCTGAACAATCTGGAAGACAACGCAGTGCATCGCTGTCCGGTTCATTACAGTCTGCTCCTTTCCAACCTTTTCTACACAGGCACATACCGCTGACACAAACACCATGGCCTGAGCAGTCTGGATCTAGGCAGTCGACTGTAACACAGTTAATTTTGTTAAGTTTTCACAAACTAGGTAGCTTTTATTTTATTCTAATTCCTGTTAAAGCCCAAATTAACATTGCGTGTACAGGTACCAGACAAGTTGTGAGAATCTTGAGTTGATCTTACTCTTCGTTGTTCTTACTCAAACAAAATTATAAATAAACTTTTGCGTTGTTGCTACGTAAATATATATTCCACTCTGCAGGTGCAGCTGAGAAAGTGAATTTCTTACGATAACAAAGTTTATTACATATGACTTTTGAAGATCCTTATCCTATTCCGAAAACTTTTAAGTCTAGTAGTTAATTTCCACAATGTTGGTTGCTATCCCTTTAAAAAAGCGTTGTAGGATACAAAAAAAAGAAGAAAAGGATGTAAATAAAAAGCTCAGACAACGATTAGCTATCCCCTTACCAGATCATATTTCTTTCATAAAATGTTCTAGGCAGTAAAAAAATAAATATATAAAATCCATAAATGAATGTAGCTCAAACTAATTAGTATATACATGGAATTTGCATGATTAAACAAGCTCATTATTGTTTTACTTGCGAGATGATTGTTTCGAATCATCATGTTTAGATGCTAAGAAGATTACAAGCTAGAATATACCTGAAATAAAATTCAAGCAATCATTTCAGCACCTGAATTAAATGTTCGTAAACACCTTATTGACATTAATATCTTGGATTGACTGTATGGTACATCACTGAATATAAATCACTAATTTGTTTGTGTTAAAGGACATCTGAACAGAATTACAAATAGTCTTCGTGCACGAGATTTCAAAGCACATAATATTCTTACTAGTATGAATATCTAATTATTTTTAATATATATAGTCTTATCAAACGTAATTAGGATGAACTCAGAATAAAGTTTACAAGTATATATTTGATTATTTCCATCTATCTTTCGGCATTGTATTATATCAGATGTTTGAGAGTAATACTAAGGCAAGAAATCATATAAATCAAAGACAAAAAGCTAACATCTTGCAAGTCATTATAAATTACTGAAAAGTTGTTAAACAGGACAAACAAGAGGAATCCTCAATAGCTGCGACACTTGAAATTATTTTAGGCAGGATTAGAGTAAATTAATCTATGATACCTTTTTTCCTTTTTATTAAATATATTTTGTAAATAAAGCAATAAAAAGCGTATACCCGATTCGATGTTATTACCCATCAGGATCTTTACCCGCCTACCCTCAAATGGAAATTATTTTAGGCAGGATTAGAGTAAATTAATCTATGATACCTTTTTTTCCTTTTTATTAAATATATTTTGTAAATAAAGCAATAAAAAGCGTATACCCGATTCGATGTTATTACCCATCAGGATCTTTACCCGCCTACCCTCAAATGGAAATTATTTTAGGCAGGCTTAGAGTAAATTAACCTATGATACCTTTTTTTTTCCTTTTTATTAGATATATTTTGTACGCCAGCAATAAAAAGCGTATACCCGATTCGATGTTATTACCTAACAGGATCTTTACCCGCCTACCCTCAAATTGAAATTATTTTAGGCAGGATTAGAGTAAATTAACCTATGAGACCGTGAGAGTGATCAAATACATGACTCGAAAGAGTTTGACCTCTTGAGTCCAAAACTGTAATTAGATCTCAAATAGTTCAAGAGATGACGGAGCTATGAGCTAAAACTTTCTACTCGAACAAACAAAACAACTCAGAGCCGTTCTATGAGCCGGTATGCCGCGGCTAAAAATATAGCAGTGATAAAATTAAATAGACCTTACATTCATTTTGATTTTATACACATGTGTATTATACTCTAGAACATCATTAGTAAATATTCATATTCCATAGGATATTTACATAACAGTACCTGACAAAAACTTTCCTGTTTATTGGTGAACATTACTAACAAAATCAACTTGTTTATATTAACACAACTTAACATGCTTTAACTTAGTGCGAGATTCAACTTGTTAATATTAACACAACTCAACGTGCTTTAACTTAGTGCGAGATTCAACTTGTTTATATTAACACAACTCAACATGCTTTAACTTAGTGCGAGATTCAACTTGTTTATATTAACACAACTCAACATGCTTTAACTTAGTGCGAGATTTCGACATTCTGTACTGTCAGAGATGACTTAAATTGATGTTATCCAAAACACCCGCTTCACTTCTTAGTTTCAAGTATAGCATAATCCCATCCACACAAATGCACCCACTTAAAAGTAAACATTTCACACATTTCCATGTGTACACATATATATAAAGCAAGTCATGGATGCTATGTACTAATATTACTTGTTATATATCGTTAATAATAAAACACACTAAGGTTGCTTTTAATATTAAAATTTAATTCCACAGACTTATACTAATTTAAGCCCAACGTATATATTTTGTGCGTTTATTTACTTTTATCTCTAAAGACTTATGCTCGCACATTTTGTCCCATTTAATATTGTGTTCCAACTTACTTTCGTTGTATGATAATGTTGATTTATATTTGTATCTTTTTTTTCGAATCTATATGACTCACTATCTAATCCTATATGTGTGATTATAGATAGCACAAAAAATATTATTCCTAAACAGAAAGTTTACTGACACTTTTAACAATGAAAACGCAAATGTTATTGCATGATCAGCTTTAGTACGTGAAAATTTATTTTTTTAAATCTTTCTAAAGTATTGAAATAAAATTCAGGTTACTTTAGCACACAGATTTTGTGCTTGCTGTATAATCACATTTTCATTTTAACGATGTGGCTCGCAGTTATGATACAAGAGCTTCGGATCTATAGGGTACCATCCAAACACAGCCTTCAGCTCATTTTTTAACCGAATAAATAAACGCTGATAAACGGTTATAGTTTCCTGATTTCTCTGATAATATGACGACGGAGTATATATAAAAAAAAGAACACAGGAAAATAAAACTTTATTTTCCTTATTCTAGGAAATTCAGTTCCCGAATTATTCGGTGATCCTTGACGATTTGCGTTTCAATCAATGCTGTAGAGGCATGATAATGGTACGTATAATAATGTAAAGCCTATTTTACGACCATTCACCGGACGTAGACAACCATATTCGGCTTTACTTCTGGCCTTTTCTCTAGGGTTAAGTCAAGAAACGGTAGTGTTTCATATTGTCCAAAATCTTACTTGTCGTCTTACTTTCTCTGGAATAATTCTGTATATCGATTTTCTCAAGTTTTATTTGGTTTTCGTGATTTTGTAAAGCAACAACATTAACTAGATATTTTTTGTAGTGGAAATTGGTGATTTTATTTTATTTTTTAAAAGAAGAGAAAAATAATTTAAGAATAGTAACTTTTCACTAAAAAAACTGTAGCATACAATAGCGAAGTTCAACGTTCACATATTTTTCCAGTTCATTATA